AATACCGCATGACAGTTGTCCCGAAACACACAGAAAGGCTCCTGAGTGTGGTGTCTGCAAGGTGTGTTAACCCCGAAGGATCGCAAGGCTCTAGTTCCTCCAACATCTGCCCACCCTCCAGTAAAACCTCCCGCTTGGAGATGAGCAGTTGGGGTAGGGTCCCTGGGAAGAACCGGAAATGACCCTGTGGGGGCTAAGCACGTCAGGAGCAGTTATGAGGGGGACGGGTCTGAAGCCCAGAGCTACCCCTTATCGGACAAGCAGTCTGAACCTGGACGTGTCTGTAAAATGGGGACAGAGTGCCAGTCCAGGCCATTCCCGCTCGTGGCACCGGCGCCAGCGCCACAGGATCTCTCGAAGCGGGAGGCCAGGCCGTTCTTCCGAGGTGCGTCCGGGCGGACTCACACCTCCAGCCTTCTGGTTAGCAGCCCTTTGCTACTCAGAAGAGTGTTCTGAGAACTCGAACTCACACCAAGCACTCAGCAGAGTCTGGCACCCAAACGCGCTGAGCCAGCCCCAGTCACGTGACTCCCGCTCTGGCTGGCGTGGGCTCCCCAAAACCGGCTCTGAGCTACACGCCCCACAGGCAGCTAGTCCCTGCCGCGGAGTCGCCTCCGACCACAGCGATCCCCACTGGGTTTCCGAGGCCATAAAGCTTTCCGGAAGCAGAGGGCCCGTCGTCCTTCCGCGGGGCAGCTGGTGGGTTTGAACCGCTAACCTTCGGGTTAGCACCGGATGCCTGATCTCCAGGGACTGCGGGAGTCACTGCGGGTCACGGGCCCCTGGGAGCTGTTACCGGGGTCCTGGAGAAGCCCTCCCAAAGGGTTCCCGCGCCCACTTGCGAAGGCTCGCGACCAGGGACCTGGGGATACCCCTCCGAAGAAGCCCAAGACGCCTTCACTGAGGACCCGGGACCTGGGGCCCGCGGAACATGCGCTAAGGCGCCCGGTGCATCCCAGCGCGGGCACCCATGGGAGCACGAAGCTGCTGACGCGACCCGGACAGCCCGAGAGCCGGGGACCGGAAGTCTCATCCTGCACTTCCGGCGGAGGCGGCCGGATGCGATGGGCGGGCCGGTGAGTGGGCTGAAGGCAGGGGTGCTGGGTGGGCCTAGGCTGGGGGCGGGCCCGGCGAGTGGGCGGGGCCGCGTCGCACACGCTGAGTCACTTCCGGGCGCGGGCGCGGGTGAGCGCGGATAGGGTGGCGGACAGGGTGCTCAGCGGGCCTGGGCCGCCCGCGGGGGACCCGGGGAGGGTGGGGTGCCATCTTGCCGCGGCCCGGCGCTAGACCCCCCATCCCCAGGCCTTCAGCCGCGAGTCTGTCTCCAGCCCCGTTTCTCGCCGCCTCTGGACCCCGGTCCCTGGATCACTCATCCCTAGACCGCAGTCCCTTCACGCCGGTCTTCCCCTGCCTCGCGTCTCGCGTCTCTTTCTCTGGGTGCCTAACTCCTGGGTCTCTGCGCCTGTCTCTCCTCCATCCCTCTGCTCCTCCTCGCCCCTGAACGTAGGTGTGGATAATTCCATTTGGGACCGGGGATGTCTCCAAAAGCAAATAAAGTGGAAACTCATTTTGCAGACTAGCAGAAGGGCGGAGGTGCTGGCCCCGGCTGTGTGATGATGTCAGCGAGTGCCATTAGGCTCAGCGTGCAGTTTCAAAGGCAATCCGTAGCAGCGGGAGGCTGGCAAGGCTGCGGGGGAGGAAGGGGCGCCTTCGCCTGCCCGGAAACACGGGAGACGATTTGACAATTGCATTCTTTGTGAGCCTGTGAATGAGTCTGACCAACCGATCCAAAAGGTTCCATCCCAGGATTTAAAAAAGCGGCTGCAGCCGGGAGTCAGCTCTGACTCCCAGCAGGCGTCGCTTCCCAGCCCCCTCTGGATGGATTTGAGCCCCTAATCTTTTGGTTTGCAGCCTGTTTTTTGCACCACCCAGAGAATCCAGTGTATTTATTTTGCTGTATTACAGTGGTGCTGTGGTTAAAGCATCGGGCTGCTAACTGAAAGATTGGTGGTTCGAACCCACCAGCCGCTCCGCAGAAAGAAGATGAGGCAGTCTGCTTCTGGAAAGATTGACAGCCTTGGAAACCCCGTGTGACAGTTGTACTCTGTCCTATAGGGTTGCTATGAGTCGGCATCAACTCTTGGCAGTGGGTTTCGTTTTATGTACACACGAAAAGTCCAGACTAGTTGCCATCAAGTGGGCCCTGACTCCCGGCGACCCCGTGTGGGTCGGAGTAGAACTTTGCTCCACCGGCTTTCAATGGCTGAGTTTTTGAAAACGGTTCATCAGGCTTTTACTCCAAGGTGCCTCTGTATGGACTCAGAGATGCCCCATCTGGGTGGTGGGAGATTCGGCTTGGGTTAGATTGAGCTGAGCAGCAGAGCACGTTGGCTGTGTGCATGACCCAGGGACTCCAGGTACAATCTATATGGACCGGTAGCCACTTGGGTCTCTACTCTGATACCCAGTGGTACCTCCCTAGGACAACTCCTCCCAAGGTGTCTTGGGCCTGCCTGGCTGACGTACTCCTTTCTGTTGTTGATGTTCTTTGTAGCATCAACTAAAGCTGCCCTCGAAGACTCTCAGCCATGGAAGGGATGCCATTGGTGGTCTCCAAGCAGAGAAGAGAAGTGTTGTGTGGCGTCCCCACCCAGGTGGTGTGTACGGCCTTCAGCAGCCACATCCTGGTGGTAGTGACCCAGTTCGGAAAGATGGGGACCCTGGTCTCCCTGGAGCCCAGCGAAGTGGCCAGTGACATCAGCAAACCCATGCTTACCACCAGAGTCCTTCTCGGGCAGGATGAGGTAAAGGGTCAGGGATAGGGGATCCTCTTCCGTGGCTTTCGTTTCTCAATAAGACCTTGGGGCAGGTGGAGGGCCAGCCACCCTACAGTGCACGTTTCCTGGGGCCTTTCTGGGTCTAGGGCTGGCCCACAGGTCCTCGGTGAGTGCTTGTCCCAGCCCGTTAGAATCTTACCCAGCAGGCAGGTCCAAGTGTGGATTCTAACATGTGCCTCTTCCTTGTATGACCCTGTCATGACACGCACCATTAACGAGTGGCTGCCCATGCTCTGTTCTAGAAATAGCGCTGGTGAGATGTGACAGAGGTCCCTTCTCCGGACTCCTTGCTGAGTCTTGGCAGATCAGAGGCAGGGGACTCGGAAGGAGGCACCAAGGGAATGAGTTTAATGACGCCTCCTCAGTGGTTAGTTTATGACTGGCGTGTTCCGAGTGTCTCGTTGAGCCCTGAATCGCAGTGGCATCGGATTATCACTTGGTGATTTAATGGTGGTGTGGGAAGCCCGTCTGGGTGCCTGAGGGATACTTAATGAAGGCACTAAAAAAAAAAGAACTGGCCTCTGCCACTCAAGTGGTCCCCTCCCCTTCCATCCACCAGCCTCTCATCCACGTCTTTGCCAAGAACCTGGTGACGTTCGTATCCCAAGAAGCTGGCAACAGAGCGGTCCTCCTGGCTGTGGCCATGAAGGACAGAAGCATAGAGGGGCTGAAGGCCTTGCAGGAGGTGATCCGCACGTGCCAGGTGTGGTGAGGGCCTCAGGACCCAACCCTGCGGCCAGCCTGCTGCTTGCCAGGAGGACGAAGGGAGACTCAGGCCCACTTGTGAGGGTTTGAAGATGGCGCCGGACACTAACAGAAGGCGGGGGGCACTCCTCTGCCACAGCCCTTGAGCCACCAGCACTCAGGCCTTGGGCAGGCTCCACTCTGATATCTAGTCTCACCCTTGGGTGGGGAGAGGAGTGGCATGTGTCTGGGAGAGTGGTGAATGACTCTCATTAGGATCATCACATATCTTTGAGAATCGAAAGGGTGACTCAGGAGGCATGATTCACAGCCCTCGGTGTGCAGTGCCCGTTGTGGGAGGAATTTTTTTTTTTTATCAAAAATAAATATGTATCCAAAATACTTCACTTTTTTTCCTAACAGTGTTGAGGTGGCTCAGCCACGCGGTGTAAGCTCAGTTTAGCCACAGGTCGGCGGAAAGCCTGTGGGCAGAAGCTGGAGCCCTGGGAGGCCGTTCTGCACACACACTTAGTCCTCTTCCTTTTGGTGCATGGCTGCTTCCTTGCCCCTGTTCCTGTGGGCCTTCTAGGATGCTTGGGAACCTGGCAGCCCTTAACTCTCACTCGACACATTTTTTATGGTGCACCAGTTACGGCGCTGGGGCTAGGGCACAGACCCCAGTCTCAGGAGCCATGTCCTCACGAGAGGGGAACAGACACACGTCACCCTGCTGGCCTGGGTTCCACCAGGGCGAGGGGCATCTGTTGGGGCAGTGGCTTAGTCTCCTAGGGCTGAGAGTCCCACAGGCTACATATCAGTTCAGGGGCGGGGATCTGAGTGCAGGACGGGGCTCCTGTCCGTTTCAGCTTCTGGTGGCTGTTGGTGGTCCTTGCATTCCTGGGCTCCTAGGTGTGGGGCCTGGGGGTCTGTCTGGGGGTCTTCTCCCTGTGCATCTGTCTGTCTGTCCTTGATATAACTCAGGAGTGATTAGGGTCAGGACGCACCTGCTCACTGCAGGTTGGAGGTTCAAGTTGCCCCGGTTACTGTGTGAGAAAGGCTGGTGGTCTCCTGAAAGTCAGCCCTGAGAGCCCTGTGGCCTGTGGGGGCACCACCAGTGAGCCGGCGAGTCAGAAACAGTGGGCCGCTCAGAGGTGGCAGCGAGTGTTACGCTCCAGAGTCCCGCCCACAGCGTGGCTCTCAGAAAGTCCTGCCGCCGTCCCTCCTGATAGTTCCAGGAGCTGCTGTGGGAGATCAGACCGTTGGCGCAACACCGGAGAGCTGCACACGTCCCAGGTGGTGTGCTCAGCCGCTACCTTTGAGCAGGACCGCTCTGTCTGCTACTTGGGGTAAAATACCACGGCAACAGGTTTGGTTGCTATGCAACGCATACATGGCCCTTGTGTACGCCAGAACCGTATGGACAGGTGCAAAGCCCTGGTTATGAGGGGCTACGTAGAGACAGAGAAGGGAGTGTAGACCCACGTGCAGGAACATGGGCTGCAGAGCAGAGACCGTGGGCCCTGAACGCAGACTCCCAGCTGGCTGAGAGACAGCCTGTCCTCTGAAGCCGGCAACACCAAAGACAGCTCTCCATGCACGCTTCCACCTGGCTCTGACCTGGTGACCTCTGTCAAGGCGACTCTGTGGAGCCAGGCCCGGCAGTGGCCACACCATCTAATTGAACCCCTGTGGCCACCATTCACAAGCAGGTTATGAGAAGACTGAGGCTCAGAAGGGCCAGGTGAGCAGCTCAGGTGATGAGTCGTGGCCCCAGGCTTGTGTCCTCTGCCCAGCCCCACGGTCGCCTGCCTCATTGAGACCGGGGCCCTGCTGCCTCCCTACGTCCCTTATTCACAGCTGCCCGAGCCGTCTGGTGGCTCTTGTCATTTCCCTGGAGCCCGCACCGTTTAATCAGGACACAGGCTGGTGCAGAAGGCCCTCCGCTCCCCTGAGCACTCAGTGCCGCGGCTGTGGTGACTCAGGAGCGAGAGACGCGCTCCAGTGAAGAGATCTCTGAAGCCGGCATCTCCGCAGGCAGGCTGGCTGCTTGGTGGCAGTCCTCACTCCTGGAGGCTGCCTGCCAGCGGTCAGACCGTCTCCTGGTTCCCGAGATTCACAGCTGGACATGCCCAGTGTGCAGTGGGCTCCCCTGACAGTGATGATCTGTGCCCCCCTCTGCTGCCCCCACCCGTCTGGCAGCGATCCTGCTGTGCTGGCTCGCGTGTGACCACCCGATGCAGGAAGCCATGCCACTGTGTTTCACCAGCAGGACCACCCGAGGTGCACAGGCTTCGGCAGAGCTTCCCGGTTAAGACGAGGAACCAAGGCCTGGCAATCAGCTTCCAAGAATGAGCTGACGAAGGGGGCCCTTCACATGGGTCCCGAGGGGTCCCAACAGCGTCGTCCCACACAGTCCTGGCAGGGGAGTCCTTCACACGAATCCACGTGAACTGCCCCGTGGGGTTCCTGCAGGGGAGACCCTCACGTGGATCCGTGTGAACTGCCCAGTGGGGTCCGTGGCCCATCATCTTCATGGAAGCATGTTACCAGGCCTTTCTTCCATGGCACAGTTGGGTGGGTTTTGCCCTGCTTTTGTGCAGCCCCAGTTGGAGGCCTTAGAATGCCCAGTGGCCACAGCAGTGGACACAAGCGCACAGTGATGTGAAGGTGGCACGGGGCCAGGCACACGGTGTGTTATACATGGGCTTGCCGTGACTCGAGGGCAGCTCGTCGCATTTTCTGCCACAAGGTGGACCTGCATGTCAGTCAGAGCCGGGGGAGTGGGCTGACGAATACGGAGAACCGTCCTGAGCAGCTTCTGGGGCCCATGGAGCCACATCTCACAGACACCCCACAGGGTAAGACAGCCCACGGCCACGGGAGTTCCACTCCCTGGAGTGATGCTGGCCGTCAGGAGGGCTTCGGGGCCAGTGGGGGTGGAGGCAGAGGCCCCGTCGTCATGGGTTCGTCGTTGGGCACTGCCAGGAGAAGACGGGCACACCGTGCCTTGTGTTGAGGTGGCTCAGATCCGGGAAGGCACCAGAGATGCTGGAGCCACCTGCAGAATGGGCCCCCGTGTGGGGCCGTCTCACAAGGACCCTGTCCTCCAGGGGGGCCCAGGATGCCCCGGTGGAGTCTGGGGCGGGGGAGGAGGCAGAGGGGAACCAGCTGCCCTTGAATCAGTGCTGACTCCCAGCACTGCCTCGCGTGTGGGATAGGCCTGTGCTCCACGGGGAGTCCGAACGGTTGGCAGTCGGAACCCATGGAAGGGCACCTCGAAAAAGGAGGGAAGGTGGGAGAGAGAAAAAGAGAGAGGCCAAGCTACTGACAGAGGGCGAAGGAGTTTGGGGAGGAGGGAGGACCCCAGCAACCCTGGCCCTAACGTGGTCTCCCAGGGACCCCGACCATGACCCAGGACTCCCACCTACCAAGTGCTGGGCATGGCCTGCACGGCCCCTTTGACCCCCACCACAGCTGGGGTGAGGATTGGGTGGGCCCCTTCACAGGCAGCATGCTGTGAGCGGGGATCCCCACCTGCCAGCCACGTGCCTGTGTCTTGGACCTGTTTCCTCATCTGTACAGTGGGGTGCCCCTGCCCCACAGCAGCGGGGGCGCTGGTCACTCCCCGGGCGACCTGCTCACAATTCAGAGGGGCTGTGATCAGCCTTGTGGCCATGCTGGTCCCAAGACTCCCTCAGACTTGTCAGCACGGGCTGCTCTTGGGGTGTTGGGGCCAGACAGGGACAGGTGGGGAAGGCGGCGTGTGGCTGGTCAGCCTTGGGAGCTGGCCACAACAACCACCTCCATGCAGGTGGGGGTGCAGGCGACCTGCCCAAAGCCGGCAGCTGGCCAGGGCTCAGGGCAAAACCTTCACCAGATCTTGGACCCCCAAAGCCTCTGCTCCACCCAGAGGAGAGGCAGACCAGTGGGTGGCCACGCCGGTCCAGATCCAGGGCACAGAGGGCGTGGTGAAGAGGGCCTGCAGCTGGCAGGGTGGGCCAGACAGGTAGGGCAGGTAGGGCCAGGCTAGGGGCCGGCTGGGTGGGGAGAAGGGCGTTGGGAGGGGCCTGGCTGAGGCAGGAGAAGTGGTACCAGGAACCAACCCAGGCTGCCACAGCTGGGAGCTGTGCTGTGGGCAGACAGCCTGCCACAGGGCCTGGCCGGCAGCAAGAGAACCAGGAGGACGGTGAGGTATTAGCATGGGGTACTTGGGGGGTGCACACACGGGGGGTACGTGTATGCCTGTGTGTGCATATGTATGTGTGCATGTGTGTGTATGCGTGTGCTACGTGTGTGTGTGTGCACGCCAGGGATGCCGTGTCCGTGTGGGAGCTCCCGTAACAAGAAGGGGTCTTGGGCCAGCACGGTGAGTCCAGTGTGAAGCAGCCCACTGCCCAGCCCCCTCCCAGGCAGGGCAGAGTGCCCAGGAGGCAGGGGAACACGGGCCTGCCCGTGCTGACTCCTGGGTCTGGGCGGCACCACTCTCTGTCCAAACCCCACAGCACCTTCCTACGGAATCAAAGCCCTTTTCACGTTCACAGTCCCTGACAGGGATGGGGTACCCAGGAAGCGAGGTAAGCACAGGCTTCCTTGTGCTGCTTACTATTCTGGAGTGACAACGTGAAATCAAAGACGGGGTGAAGCGTGTGGGTGGTGGTCCACTACAGATCAGTAAGCACAAGCCAGCCCATGCTTACCTTGCTCATTGGGTAATCTGCCCCCACTCCTAGGGCAAACACCCGGGACCGGCCTGTCATCCAGGCTAACGCACAGGCACAGAGAGGTCCCCGGCAGACACAGCCTCCTCTGAGAACTAAATTTTCCAGAAGAAGGGAAGTGTGGGCTGAGCATGGGCAGGACAGAGAGAGGCCCAGGAGAATGATAGCGTTGAGATGTGGACACCGAGGTCCGGGTCTGGGGTCAGGCCACGCCGGGATGCAGCTGGAGCCTCTGGCTGCCAGGACCCAGGAGGGTGGGCACAGCTGGAGTCCTGAGCCCTGGTCCAGGCTGGCCCTGCTGCGCTGTTGC